ATTAACTTGTAAATCGCTCTAGTAGGAAAATTTGTGCTCTAAGTATCGCTAGCCAGTCGCAATTATTTTATGTCTAAAAAAACCACTATCTTCCCAAATTTTATAGTTTTTCATAGGGTTATTATAATCTATGTAATTTCACTACAGTTCCTTCGTTCCATTCAAAACAAATGTTTTCCTAATTTTTATTGTTGAATCTATGGGTGTAATCGAGTCCAATCAAACTTGAATTAAAAAATTTGAACTCAAGTTCGAGTTCGAGCGCGTCGAACTCTTGAAAGTTGAACTTGACTTCGAACTCGATTTTATTTTATATTACTAGAATTTGAGCTCGAATTCTAACTTATCGAGCCCAATCGAGCTTGTTTTGAGCTTAATTCAGTATAATCGAATTTAAGAAATATAAATTTATATTTTTATATAATTATACAAAAGGTATAAAATAGATACTAATCGAGACATTTGATACTAATTAATAAAAAAAATTAACAAAATATATATATATGTGAAGTTTAATTGAACCAGATTAAACTCAATGAGGTTTCGAGTTTCACATATTAAACTCAAACTCCACTCGTCAAGTAGTTCAAGTTGCTTAAATTCAAGTTTGAATTCAGTCAACTTGAGTTTGAATCGACCATTGGCGAAGCAAGTTCGCGAACTACTTGATTAAACTCGACTCGTTTACACTCCTAATTGAGTTACATGTTTCCAAAATCCATGGTGATTATTTTTAAAACTAAAAACATTCCTAGTGAACTTAGGGTTTGTTTGGATGGTCTATTTAAAAAAAAAAAACAAAGAAAGTTTGTTTGCAACACCATCTATAGTAACAATTTAAAATACCTGCAAACTTAAAAAGAAAAAAATCAAAAGAAAAGTACATTAATTAGGGTACCGGTAGTGGATGGCAAAGGTTGTCGGTGGTAGATGTTGAGGAAGGGATTTGGTGAATTTTTAGAAAACACAGGATGTTTTTATATGTTTTGGACAGATATCAATATTTTTTGTAAAATAACTATAGTAAATTAGGGTAAATATTTAGATCAGCATCCAAAATGTGTACCATTCACGTGGATGCTAAGCCAAGCCAAAGCAGTCGCATGAGGTCTGAAGTCGACATGATGGCATCATTCTATGACGAAAGCGTGATGTCTGGATTGGGATTGGCTACTGTCTTGCCACGTGGTGTATTAATATGCGGATAGCACACCTTTGCTGTACGAAGTTGACGTGTCCAAGCAGGGCGCGTGTCTACGGATTAGGATTAGCAAATTAAAATGTGAAAAAGTGGGATAAATTTTGGGATAATTTCGGAAACCTCCCTGAGGTTTTTGACAATTTCACTTAAATATCCTCTAATATTAAAAATTACACTGACCTCATTTTAATTCCTGTCATAAAGAGTGATATCAAAAGTGAAACAAAAATATTGGCACACAATTCTCTTCCAAGCCTACCCTCTTGCTTTTGCCTACTGCATATTTTTCATATTATATATTTTTGTTCATATATTTATTTCGATCTAAATAAAATAAAAGTTGTGCAAGAACTTTTGAGATGTGCAAATCAATACTTTAGTAACAAAACTAACAAAATGCTATACCACTACTTATGCTTAAAGGTAAGTTCAAGGAATATTTTGTTAGTAAATTAAATAAAGAACTACTATTTATCTATTAAGAACATGACTAATCTTTTCTACATTTTGGTGTGATATAGTTTAGTTCTTTGTTTATATACTCACTTTAATCAGGAATTAATGAGAGGTTAGGGCAATTTGGCATGCATGTTTTCATAACTTTGTGGTGTAAATATCCAACATAAGTATCCAAGGTGCAAATAAACGTACTACAAAACTTCAAGAACAGCAAAATGACATTATTCTAAAGGCTAACACTCTCCCCTCTGATTGTAAATGACATATGTACTTTCTCTCAGTGAGTTACTGTTAATATTTTTGTTGTGAATATCGTAGTTGTATGTAAATTCTCGAATGGAAAAATTCAAAAAGAATAGAGAAAAACTGACATCAATTTTATCTGGGGAATGATTATTCATATTCTTTAAATTTGTTACCGGCAAACTTTTTGACTGTGTGATTAGTACTTTCTGTTTTTCCACACTGATAGAAAAGTCAAGAGAAACTAGCAAATGTTGAATGGTGTACAAACTAGCAGCTTTGTATCCTTCACAAGCTAGCCAAATAATTTACAAATTGGGTGCAGTTACATTAATCCAAAAAGCCACTACTCAATAAAATAGGATGAAGACTGATTCTTTCCCCTAAAGGGTTACACTACAATCCAATTAATTATTATTGCACGGTACAAGCATAAACTAGCAAATGCTGAATAGTGTACAAAGTTTCTATATGGACAACGACATTGGCTCAATATTGTTGGAATAATTAAACCAAACTATTTACAATTTTAATTGTCTTAGAATTGGATTTATTATTTGAAAACTAGATTAGAATAGGTGTCAAAGTTAGTTTAGATTGAATTATGTTTAGATGTTAGTATTGAAATAAATTTTATGATTCCGTTTCTCTATTTACGGACATGAAGTCCGGCTTTTGTAATTGAGGAAAGTTATTCTATTGATTGAATAAACTTTTAAAACCTACCATGCCTTTCTTTGTTCTTCTTGATTAGAACGCACTGTTCCAATGTTGAGCTCTTGTTTCTAGTTTCGGGATGTCCCTTTTTGCTCATTGATGAAGAAAGCCGTGCGGTTAGTTCATCTTGTTGATTGTTTGTGTGTAAGCTTTTAGTTTTACTGTCGCTCTGTGATTTTATGGGCTAGCAAATGGTATCGAAACTCTTAATTCAAGAGTTTGATTTTGGAATGTTTGTGGGGCCTGGAGGGTATGTAAAATTTGTGATAAAGTAGTTTGTATTATAGAAATGTACAGTTGTGATGGAATGCCCGTATATTGAAAAATTGGACCACAAGGATTAGTTTTGGAATACTCATTTATTGACTTTAGAGAAAAAATTGGCCCTAATTGGATAGAGGGAATTTTGTCGAAATTATTAGTATTGACAACGATAAGAAAATCCTTCTGTTGTATAATAACCAGGGAAAACGGTCTTGCCAAATTATTGTGATTGATTCCACAATGGAGTTTGATCAAGGATGAAGCTAGGGAGGCTAAGAAAATTAAGAAATTCTAGCAAGGAAGACACTTAAATTTTGTGAAGTTATGCAAGTTTGTATGTGAGTTGCCATGGATAGGGACTTTCTCAAAGAAAATATCTATTTGAATGAAGATTTGAATAATATTTTGTTGATTTTATTGGTAGGATAGATAAAATTATTTAGAATTGTGGAATTGCAAATTTTTGTAGTAAAAATTTTTGGAAAAAGGAAAGATATGATTTGTTGTTTCTTGAAAATTGTCTAGATGATTATCATAAATATGATGGTCCTAATGATGAATGGGTGAACACTGATGAATTTTTTAATTAAGCGGGATTAACTATCGAATTGTGTACAAAATATAAGCTTAATCCACCCCATGCGTGAAGAAGAAAGTGAAGATTAGTTGCAAATTGAATTTGCACATGAGTTATACCGCTACAAAGATTGCAATGACAATTCAAGCTCGTGACGGCATTAGAAAAGACACCATTGAAGAGTTTGATTTAAAAGATGCAACGTCAAAATAATTAAATCAAATTATTTAAAATTTTAGTTGTTTTAGAATTGGAATTTTTTTTTGGTTACTAGATTAGAATTTGTGTCAATGTTCATTTAGAAAGTAAAGTTGGATTATATTTAGATATTAGTATTGAAATATATTTTATGATTTTATTTCTCTAGACTAGTAGTTCGACTTTTGTAATTGAAGAATGTTACTATATATTGTTTAATAAACTTTTAAAACCTCCCGTGCCGTTCTTTGTTAATCACTTATTCTTGATTAAAACGTACTGTTCCAACGTTGAACTTTTGCACTTCTGTTCCTGGCCTCGTATATTTTTTTTGGAATAATTTCAGAAACCTTCCCTGAGATTTCTAACAATTTGATAGCTCCCTTGAAGTTTAAAAAATTATACATACCTCTCTTATCATTTAAATATATTTTAATAAAATTTCCTTATTTGATACACTTATACTTAGAATGAGTTTTAAATTTTTTTTCATTTTTTCAATTTTGCCTTTTTTTCTTTTTAATTTTTCACCAATAAAACTATAGAACTATCACTATTGTTTCTAATTTCTATTGTAACCAAATGTCAAATTAGTGATTTTTTTGACCAATTAGTTTTATATGTAATCCAATATTTTTGCTGATCTTTGTTTTCTATTTTGTGGCACTAAAATTAACAATAATCAAAAAGAAATCGCCCAAAATCACTACCAAATTATGATAATCCTACTATTCGAAAAATTCATAAATTCTAAATGAATTATTTCAATATTTTCTTTTCTATCTTATAAATCTAAATCTATAATAAAGTACCATCAAAAGTATCCTATCATAGTAATAAAATTATTATTATAGTTATTTATGAAATAGTAGGTATGGACATGAAAATTTTGGCATATTTTTCTTATAATTATAATAGATAATTTTATAATGGTATAGGAAAATAAATTAAAACTCATTATACAAGGGCATTTTTGGGTATTCATTTAAAAATTTGACCAAGTCGATATTTGTATTTTAAGATTTTGTTACTAAAACAATCAAATCAAGGGAGGTAAGTATAATTTTTCAAATCTCAGGGAGCTCAGTGAAATTATAAAAAATTTCGGGGAAGGTTTCTAAAATTATCCCTTTTTTGGCCCTTTTGATTTGTGTGTAAATTTTTACTTTTATTTTTGCTGCATTAATTTTTTGTACTAACAGTTATCCAACCGCGTCCAGTGATCCCAATCAAATCAAACACTGAATGTACGCGCCCTTAGTTGAGCCTGGGCTTACCATCATTATATCGTACTTTGTCTTTTTCTTTCTTTACAAATTTTCCAAATATCTTTATCAGGACACCTCTGTTTCCTTCAGTTTTCCTCCCACTCCTTGCTTTCCTTTCCCGGAAACCTCCCTTTTCTGCATCACCACTGTACCCAAAGCCTCCATAAAAGAAACCCTTTTGACTTCAAGTTCTGCTTCACTCAGTGAAATGGATAAAATGCTGAGCGTAAATCAGAAAAAGACAAACAAACAGCCCAAAAACAAGAAAAAGCCAGTCAAGGTTGTGTACATATCAAATCCCATGAAGGTGAAGACTAGCGCCTCAGAATTTAGAGCTTTGGTGCAAGAACTGACTGGCCAAGATGCCGATATGCCGGACCCCACGAAGTATTCGGACACAGACAGTGTCGGTGGCAGCTGCCAGGAGGAGGTTTCTACTGAATTGAAGACTATGGAGGATGATCAAGTAGTTCAACAACCACTGGTGCAACCCAAAAATGAAATGCCAGAAAGAGCTGATTGCAATATATATGGAACATGTGACCGTGAGGATGATGATCTTTTGTTTATGCCTGAGAGTTTTCCTGGATTGGTTGCTTCAAATTTGTGGTATGGGGCTAGTATTCATGGTGATGAGCTCAAAAGTCTTTTTTGATATAATGTAAGTTTGGTTTACCCTTTAGGGTAAGTTGATATGGTATGGTTCATGGGTAAATATGATGCTAGCTAGGTAATTAATTAACCTTGTTTGTGTCTGTAATTCTGTCTGTAACAATACCTACTTCAAATAAATAAGTGCAGCAACTGAAAGACAGGCTTGCTGATCTCTTTCCTAGTCAAGATCCAGCTCAATTGCTCAAGAAAAAGTTTGCCTTCGTCAATGGCTTGAGATCTAGCTACGTAAGTAGTTAACCTTGTCCACTGCCTTTTTTTTTTTAATTAATTATTTTCTTTCCCCGTTAAATTGAAGGGATAGCACCTTTCTTCCCTGGATAAGGGCAAATTTAATGTAGTTTGGTCAAGACTTGTGAATGAAGGAGTTCTAATGTAGCATCTGCCTAAAGGTTGAGGTCCAGGTTAATGTTTTTGAAAAGAATAGAAGGGTAGAAAGTACTGTCTAGTTTGCTATCCATAACATGTACGGGATGGCCATCTATCTAGAACATGTACATGATAGCGATCTTTTGTTGGCCAACCACATATGCTAAAAGATTAGTGCTATTTTGTTGTAAAAGACTGTGGAGGCTCTTGTCAAGTCATAGATGAGAAGAGTCACTTGTGGAAATAAAATTAAGCAATTTACACGTGGCACAATTAGAATATTCATGCAAGATATTTATAAGGGATAATTTCAAAAACCTCCCCTGAGGTTATGACAATTTCACTTAGCTCCCCTCAAATTGTGAAATTTATACTGACCTCCCTTAGCACAATAATACGGCTATAATGACGTTTGTCTAATAGATGATTCACAATATAATGGAATGAGGTATATACTTATGAAAACAAAAAAAAAATGTAGAAACCGTGTCTCTTCAGCTCACAACCAAGGATCGTCCATTCACTCTTTTTTAATCTCATTACGTTCTCATTTGTCTATGAATTCATCTCTATCTCCCTTCACCCTCTTTCCTTCAATAATTCCCTCTAATAATGCCTACCACTATTGCCAACCATTCCACAATTGATCCCTCTAATTCTATTGTGTGTGTGTATTTTTAATTCTTCCTGTCTTCCCTTTAAAATTAGTTTTGATTTTCCTGTGGAAGTAGGACGTCTCTATATTTAAAATCTTGTTTGATAACTCAATTCAATACTTAAATTTAATAGATTCAGATGTTAACATGTTCAGATGCGTTTGATAACGAAAAGTAAAACATCTGAACTGATTAAGTGACATTGAATTTTTTGACAAAATTTGCTCTAAAAAATAAGTGATAAATTATTTATTTGTTATTTAATATGATATACATTCAAATGTATTCAATTCCATAATATAACAGATTCAAACTTCAAATTTTCATATTTCAATTTTTAGACTTCAGTTTTTTCAAATGCACCCTAAGATATTAATATTTTTGGGGATTTGGTGGTAGATTAGATTATTTTGTATAGAAATGGTCTCCAACATTGGATTTGAAGTTTGAGGTATGATTGGTCGCGAATGAAATTTTGGTTTTTGGCAAAATGAATTTCTTGAAGGTATAAATAGTCATAAGGATGACTTTATTCTTTTAAACCTAATTAATTCCATCCAAACCCAGGAACTCCCTTGAGGATTCCCTTGATGGCCACAATATGGCTCGTGTACAAGAATTTGTGTGGAACCAAGCTTTGACATCCCAAGCTAATGATTATGAAAACATAGGCATCTGATTGCAAGGTTGACCATTCCATGGGACCTATAGAATTTTATTGAAGGAGTGAACGATTTTTTCAGTGTCGAATTTAGTTTAAAATGTGGGTTACAAGAAACAATTTTTATGATGATGTTGACGGAATTGCTTGGCTTGATAGTATTGTTGGTTTGGTGCAACTGTAAATAAAGGTGATTTATAAAGAACCTTTTGTTTTGTTATTGTACAAAAAGGGTAGTTTAGAATTTTTGAAAAAAAAAAATCTAACTTGTTGAGCCTATATTGTTACATGCATAGTAAAAGAAAGGGAGATAGGTGTGATTTATAAAACTTGAGAGGAGTTCTCTGTAATTGTTAAAAAGCTTCAGGGGAGGTTTCTGAAAGTATTCCTATTTATAAGGGCATCTTTGGGTTTCTACCAAACTTTTTTTAAGAAAATTGCAGTAAATTAATTTGTCATTTAAGAATATTAGAGTATATCTATTCTGGTTGGTTGAGGACTCATTTTCGTGCAATGTAAGCTAGTTTGGAAATCCTTCATGGTGACCACAAACCATATGCCAGTCCCTTTCTTTATTTTGTTCTGTAAATTACAAACTCCTTCTGTTCCACCGAAAATATCATATTTTTCCTTTTAAGATATTTCAAAAATATTTGCCATGTTCAGAAAGTTAAAACACTTTTTAATCTCTCCTTCCAAAATAGGCACTCCTTTTAATCGCATGCATCTTATCATTCAAATTCAAATTTGAAATTTGTGAGAGTAAGATTGAAAAGAGAAGTACAAATATCATAAATAAATCACTATCCTTAAAAAGTTGGATTTTCGAAATAAAACAAATAATTGGGATGAAAGGAGTAATTAATGATTTGTTTGCATCATCAACACATTTTTCAATAATCTTTTTATTTCACATATATCACATCAAAAAAGTGCTATAGTATTTTTTCAAAAAAGTTATCCCAAGTAATCTCCTATCTGAACACACTCTAATAAGTTTCCAAAAATAGTCACAAAAGTCGAACTATGATAAATCGGATAATTAGATAAAGTGCTAATCCACTACCTCACATTCTCAATAGAGTAGTTGTACTAGGTATCACTATTTGTCCACTTTCATAGTCGTTCCTCGAGTTTGAGCCTTTGAAACCGGGGCGGCATTAGGATGGAGTTTCATTTCATACTTTTAATTCTTTTTCTTTTTCCATTGGATGTTTCATTGGTTCGTTTGGTATCATTTTTCAGCAATGAATTCTCAATACACAATTTTTTATATTTTAAAATTCTAGTACTGAGATGAAAATTCTTTGTAATTCTAATTGTCAGTAAAATATATATATATATAATATGTATATGAAATTACATATTGTATATATTTTTTTAATAATACCATAAGGTTTTAGTAGATATAATATGAAGGAAAAGACTAAATTCATGCCTTCCATGTTAGTCTCCATTCAAATTTGATGTGTGTCCATGCTTCACAAGTCTAGATTAAAACTGGAGAAGTTTGAATTTCATCATTACGTATGTTGAATGCGGCTGAATTGAAGATTTGTGAAGTCATTGAAATGTACAGCTGCAAAAAAATAAAAAAAATTTCCACTTTGTTAGATTCCTCGATCTTATAGGGCAGGTAAAAGTGGTCAAAGAAAAGCCAAACCACTTCTTCATACTACGACAACCACAATTTTAGATAATCCTTTGAGTGGAAATGGTTTTGCCAGAAATGCACTATTACTTAACGAGCCAAAACATTTAATTAGAGATTCTGTGAACCTAGCCTAAAACAATGAAAACCAAGTGAACATCAGTCCAATTTGATTTTGGACTTCAAATTTTCTTGAAATCAAACAGCTTATGTGAACAAAAAGATTATATCCACATCCCATAAATTTATAAAAGTGAATCCACCACATGAGTGATTATCAATAGTTCAAATCTTTAATACACAACAAAAAGCTTAACAAAACCAGCTTTAAGCTCCACTATGATAGTTTTGAGACTATATTTAAGAAAGCACAAATAATATAAGATAAAGTGTGACTTCATAACGTGTACATGATGCAGACCTTTGTTGGGCAAACACAGATGCTAAAAGATTAGTACTATTTTGTTGTGAAAGTCCATGGAGGCTCTTGTCAATTCACAGATAAGTAGAGTCACTTGTGGAAATAAAATTAAACAATTTGCACGTGCCACAATTAAAATATTCATGCAAGACATTCTTTTTTTTTTTTTCTAATGATAACATTTGTATAACCTAATTTATCTTATTTTACAAGAAAAGGGAGTCTAAATAGACTGTGTAAGGGGCTAGCAGGTATACAGACCTGATTAGACCAAATTGGTGCTTTAGCACATCCTTTGAATTTTTTTCATTGCAAGTAGAATTTGAACCTCCGACCTACAGCCCAAAGAGGGATTCATGCAAGATATTCATAAGGGCATCTTTGTGTTTCTACAAAAACTTGTAATGTCATTTGCTTTTTCAACTTCTTCCCACGGATAAAATATTCTATTGCAAAGAAAATTGCAGTAAAATAAATTGTTATTTATTAAAATTAGAGTGTGTGTGTATATATATATATATATATCGCGATTCGTTGAGAACTCATTTTCAGGGAATGTAAGCTAGTTTGGAAATCCTTCGTGGTGACCACAAAACATATGCCAGTCCTCTTCTTTATTAGGTCCATCTAACGGGTGCCGTTAATATATATTTCAAGAGTTGTATTTTTAAATTATAAGATCAATTAAAAAAAGTAAATAAATACAAAAAAGGGTACGTAATTTTTTAAATTATAAGATCAATTAAAAAAAGTAACTAAATACAAAAAAGGGTACGTAAGATTAAATAAGAAAAGTAAATAAATGTAAGGAATAGTAATAATTATTAATATATGTATGTACATGATAGGTTAAATGAATATTAAGTGTGTTAATAAGTGTCCTATAGACACCTATTAGAAAAACCCTTCTTTATTTTGTCCCGTGAATTACACGCTTCAGTTTCCAAAAGTTGTGACTATAATTGAGTTGTAATCCAGATTACCAGATGAAAGTGACAATCATTACCTTCTACTGTGTATTCACAATTTGTCCCTTTCAGTAGCCAATTCCTCAAGTTTGAGTCTTTAAAACCGGAGCGGCATTAGGTTGAAATATTTTACTTCACCTTTATCCTTCCTTTTTTTTTTTTTTGCATTGTTGTTTCATTGGTTGCTTTTTTATAAATTTTAGATGGCCAACTTTTTAAGTTTAAAAATTTCAGAATTGAGAAGAAAATTTTCGTTATCCTAATTGTCAGCAGTATTTCTAACTGGCATTTTTTTTTATCAGAATAGAATAATATTCTACCTATAGAACCATAAGGCAAGAACACCCCCCACCCCTACCCCCCCCCCCCAACAAAAAAAGAAACAAGGAAAAAGCCCTCCAAAGAAAGGAGGAAAAAGTCTTATGAAATTAAAAAAAAAAAATCAAACAGAAAGGGTTAAATTCATGCCTTCTACGTTAGATTCCACTCTAAATTTG